TTGGATTTCATTTAGTTGTCCGTATAAATGTAGTTCAAAAGCACACTTACAGTCTTACAGTCTAATGAACATTTGAATTAATCTAATACAAGCAAACTTTCTAGCTACTATGTTTTGTTGTCATAGATTTATGCTGCTATCGCCTCACCCACTTTGATATTCTAGAGGTCTATTAATATAGTTCTGGGAAGAGAATCAAAGACAAGGATAAAAGCAGTGGTAAATTGAAGGGTAATTAGCTGTTAGGAGAGTTCTTGGCGAAAAAAGAAAAGGTAACTAAAGGTTGATGTAAGTTTTAGAGAAATAGAATTCTTTGTTTTCTATTTTTTAATTCAGTTACAGAAAGAGAGAGTCCTATCCTTTTTAGAGGACCTCTTGTACAAGAAGTCTTAACCTAAGTAAAAGTCTATTTAAAATTTAAATTAAAGATAAACTAGAGACTTATCCTAAACTAACTATCTATTTAAACAATAGCATACATGTTATCTGCAATAACCGACTGAATCGAACTACCCAAATACATTAATCAATTTTTTTTTTCCTTTAACCGTTAACCGAATCGAATTTTTTCAAAATTTTTTAATCAAACCGAACTAAGTTCAGTTAACTGAATTAACTGAAATTTATAAATAATATATAAATAATATATATTAAATATTTTAATATTTTCGGTTTATTCGGTTAAAATTGAAGTTTAAACATCCATATTAGCTAAATAATATATATAATATATTAAATAATTATTAATTTCAGTTAATTTAGTTAATTAACCGATTTCTAACCGAATTAACCGATAATTGAAATAAAAAAACATTAACCGCTAACTGATTGAACCCAAAATTAACTGATCGATTAACAGAGAAAAAAATTTGATTCGGTCGATTAATTCGATTTTAACCAAATTATGAACACCCATACTTCCCCTCAAGCTGCTGAGTATATGTTATAGAGTCTCAACTTGGATGTATGCTCTTCAAAGATGATTTTATGAAGTGCCTTGGTGAGCACATCGACCAGTTGCTCACGAGTAGAGATTAAATTAAGTTTTACTGTTCCATTTTTAACCTTTTCAGGCATAAGGTGACGATCTAACTCCACCTGATTTGTTCGGTCGTGTTGTACTGAATTTTTAGCAATGCCGATTACTGATTGATTATCACAATTAAGTTTAAAATCTTTATTGTGATTCATTTATGTTTTTCCAGGAACCATTGTACCCAAATACCTTCACAAATTCCTTTTGCCAAAGCTTGAAACTCAGTTTTAACAATGCTTCTTGACGCTACATTTTGTTTTTTGTTTTGTTTTTTGTTTTACTTCTCCAAGTCACCAAATTAGCCCATACTCGAGTACAATACCCACTGGTGGACTTTCAGGATGTGAGCTCTCCTTCCCAACTTGCATCGGTGAAGATTTTCACCTTTCTGCTCTCATTCTTGGTAAAAACCAGCCCATGTCTTGGTATCATTTTAGGGTTCCGCAAGATTTTAATTCCCGTTGCAAAATCCTCCTCTCTAGGATCATGCATAAACTGACTTATAATGATAACTGAAAAAACAATATCTAACCTTGTAAAAGACAAGTAAATAAGCTTCCTTACCAATCGTTGATAATGTTCCTTATCAACGAAAAAACTTTCTGCATTAGTTCGAAATTTCACATTTGGCTCCATAGGTGTCTCAGCAGGCTTACAACCAGTCATACTAGTCTTCGAAAGTAAGTTCAAGGTATACTTCTGTTGATTAATCACAATTCCAGTGTTTGATCTAGCTACCTTCATACCAAGGAAGTATCACAAAAAACCAAGGTCCTTGGTTTCAAATTCGGTTGCCAAATGTTACATATTATTAGGCTAACTTTTAGAAAAAAAAAGTATATATTCCATTAATTGTAATATATTTAGTTACCTAGTTTAGATATAATAGCTTGGGATGAACATTTCATTGTGTGCCTCTAGTAATCATGTTATTCTTCTAGCGTAAGGCTTCATACTCATAAAAGCTTGATGTCAGATGTGATAAGGTTCTCCGTATTTTGTTTTCTTCTTCTCTCTGTGTTGGAAACTACTGGATAATAGTGATGTAAATGTTGAATAGCGTATTTAGTTGATGATATGGTGCCTCCCATTCAGCTATCTCTCTGGCACATGATACTCTTTCTAGTTGCTTGAATAAATTGCTGTTTTATTATGAATTGGTTTTGACAATGGAAGTCTTGACATATAGAGTAATGCCTACGGCCCAAGGCAAGCATGGCATGATCTACACTGCAGAGTCGAGGGCCCTGCTGCACATGATATATTGACTAATTTTGAACAAAGATGGAGAAAGTCTACAAAATGGCGTGATTTCAAGGTAAGAAAGGTCAATCCTTGGCAGGAGGATGCCTTGATAAAGTTAGACCGTGTTTCATGGATAACATGTCCCTCTCCTGGTTCTGATGGAAACGAAGTTCTGCGTATTAGAGATGAAGGTGACCCAGATAATTGGCATGTGCAGGTTGGAAATATTATGTTTCATACAATGACTTGTATTCCTTCTATTCATCATGGTGAGGTAATGTTGGCGCTCTTCATGATAGGTATTCCGGTCCATTGATTCTGGATCTGTGAAAGGATTTCCAAAGGATGTTCAGCAAGCTGCAGCTCAGGTCTGAGACTGTCCCATTGTAATGCCTTTTGGGTCATTAGTAGTTTTCTTAGTCCTTGTTTTAAATTTGACATCCATAACATGAAGAACCTTGGTATTTTGATTTTGTATGTTTCTGCAGAACCTTATATGTGGGAAGAACTTGAAAGTAGACATGAGCATCCATATAGCTTATATAAAAGCAATAAGATCAGCACAACACTCAATTTATATTGAGAATCAGTATTTCATTGGATCTTCATATTTTTGGCCATCCTACAGAAATGCAGGTAATCAACCATAGACTAGTACTACTTCACTTTTTCCATTTGGCTGGTGCAAAGGGGATTTAAACTCCTTGGGGGGAACTGAAATTTAGCTATGACTTGGCCCTCTTTCAGTTATGTTTCATAATGTCTATAAAACCAGTGGATCTATCTCAGATAAGCTAAAAGATGCATATTTGCTAATATATTTTCCGAATAAGCTAAAAGGTTCTCTTTTTCTTACAAGACTATGTTTAGCATGTATCCACATAAACATAAAAGACTATAGTAATTGCATTATTTCTTTCATTCAAACTACTGTTCCTCGGTATTATTTTCTAAAAGTCTCAATGGTAGCTTGATTTTAAGAAAATTAACAGTTAATTTTGATCTGTCTGTAATCATTGCAGGTTAATTTTTATTGGGGTTTTCCCAATTAACATCTGCGATTTTTACATAATCTAGAAATGCTTATAGCTTGATTTCTTGGCAAGCTCAATTAAGTCGTCAGCTCTTTGTTTAAGGAGTGTTTCATCTGCTTTTCGTGTATCTTTGGAATCATCTATGAAATGGTAATGGAAGCAATTTTTCTTCATAACCAGGCGCTGATAACTTAGTCCCTATGGAACTAGCCCTGAAAATAGCCAGCAAAATCCGTGCGAAAGAACGTTTCGCGGTGTACATAGTAATACCTATGTGGCCAGAGGGTGAGCCAAGTAGCAATGCTGTGCAGGAAATACTATATTTTCAGGTTTTCTCACTCCTTATTAAGAATTGTGCATTACAAATATGAACCTTTTTCACTCCAAATAGAAGGGGGGGGGGAAGGAAGTTTACATTGTTACTATGTGATTGATCTCTGGCTCCATATTATTCTGCATTAAAAAGTTTGCATAGTTCCAACAGAACTTAAACCTGTTTATATATTGTCAGTGTGTTCTTTTCTTCATTTACTTGTTGAGGATCGGAGGATCAAAGAACTTAAACCGGTTTATATGTTGTGATAACTAGCAAGTTATCACAATAATAGGAATGGAAGTTTATTTATATGTTTAAATGGACATAGGGACAAACAGTGAGCATGATGTACTCGATCATTGCGAAAGAACTCGACCAAGCTGGCCTTTCCGATCAGTATCATCCACAAGAGTACTTGAACTTCTATTGCCTCGGTAAACGTGAAGCTCCACCTTTAGAGAGTTCGACTAAACTAAATCACAACAAGGATAACCGTGAGCTGGTATAAACCTTTTTGTTTTCTTCCTGTATCTACATAGATGACTATACGCACGGAAATCTTTGGGAAAAAAACATAAATGCACTCAGAGTCACAGCCAAGCCCGAATAACACAGATTCCATTGTTCCTTTTTGCCAGGGATTGACTCAAAAGTTCCGCAGATTCATGATATATGTACATGCCAAAGGGATGATAGTGGATGATGAGTATGTGCTAATAGGATCTGCAAACATTAACCAGAGATCCTTAGAAGGTTCAAGGGACACCGAAATAGCTATGGGTGCTTACCAGCCAAACTACACATGGGCTGTAAAGAAATCCAACCCACGTGGCCAGGTTCGGGACTCTCTCTTTTCAGATTCTACATAAATTTGACTAGGTGCCCTGAAACATAGACTTTTATTACATACTATCTAGATTTGTAAGCTGCACGAGCATTGTTGTATCTAGGTTCATGGTTATAGGATGTCACTCTGGGCGGAACACCTTGGTGAACTCAACGATGCTTTCCGGGAACCACAAAGCCTAGAATGTGTAAAACTTGTTAATGAGATTGCCCAGAGTAACTGGAAAGCATATGCGGATAGTGATTATACAGAAATGAGGGGACACTTGATGCAGTATCCATATGAAATCGGAAGAGACGGGAGCGTTTCTCCGATCCCGGGACATGAAACATTTCCTGATACTGGTGGTAAAATTCTTGGAGCACCCACCAATCTCCCTGATGTTCTAACAACTTAAAACAGACATGCCAAAGCCATTGCCTTTATTGCGAAGCTCCAGTAAGTTTTTAGTAAATCACAGGATGTAACATTAAAGAAAAGTCGAGATATGACGTTAAGTTTGACATTTCATCACGGTTTGATGATTGTTGAGACCTCAGCAGCTGTTTTTTTTTATTATTTTGAAACTTATTTCTGTTGTATATCCATTTCTTGCTATCAATTTATACAAATAGAATTCTTGCCGCATTCTCTTGATACTAATGGTGATTCCATGAATCAGAATGAGAATGTTGAATTAATAATTGAAATGTGGTGCCACGTTCATGGATGCAAAGCCCTGTTTTTAGGGTGTTTTGCTTGTTCCCCTAAATTCAAGATCAGATTGATGATAATGATGTTGTAGTTGCTCAAAATTTTAGTTGATCTTTTATATTAGATCAAAGGATTAAAGGAAACAAAAGATATTGTAGCTGCTTCATCATTCCAATCAACAGTGCCTTAGAAAGGAGGGGTGGTAGGCCAAAATTGAGATGTCCACGTATAATTAAAAAGAGTAAATTATTTATTTAGTCGTCTATATATTACTTCATTTCTATTTTGGTCATTCAATTATTATTTTTCTTGCAAAATCATATTTAATGTTAGGTTTGTTTTTTGTTTTAATCACACATTGTTAAAAAATTAACAAAGATGCTGATGTGATATTAATTTTTTAATTTCTACATAATTATTCTTTTATTATTTTTGGACAAGATGAAGATATCTAACATCGAACCATGATCCTCTTAAAAAGGACGTACTTGTTTAGTGCAAGTAGATGGATACTTAAAAAAAATTCTTCATGTTTTCTATTTGAAAATGAATGTATTTGTTAGATAAGTTATTAAGCGTAAAGGAAAAATACATAATTTACAAATAAATTTATTTATTTTTACTTGCTCTTACAAATCAATTTTCTTTTCAATATTTATTATTGGAAGTCCAATTTTTATATTCGCTCTTAGATCAGTAAATTGTCATAGACAGGCATGCTAATGAATTGCCCATGTATTCATACTATTTTTTAAATTCCCCCCTAAAGTTGCAGTATTCAGTATTCAATGAGTGTTCGATTGATTATGAGCATATGATAGTAATATAAAAAAAATGGATATGGTGAACATCCGACCGCATAGCGCAGTGGATTCGGAACAGAAGGTCGTGGGTTTGACTCCCAGTGTGGTCGTTCCTGTTTTTCATTTTGCTTCAACAGTCAACAAATGAAGATGGGCTTCTTACTATGTAGTATCCGTTTGAGATTCTGAAAAAGTTGATCGTTCTTGTCTTAAAAAAGTAAAAGTATAGGGGTATGTTTTTTTTGTTATTTCATGTCCTGGTGAGTGAGACAAACAAGAACAGAAGCTTACCACCGAGTTTAGTAATGGCAATTGGCAACATCAAAATTATTACCCCTGAGAAAATGGTTAATATTAGCGGAAAAGAGCCCACAAGTAGGTGGGAGAGAGAGTGGTCTTTTGGTACCTCATAATCTCTCGGCTATGAATATGAACCAAATTGTAACCTAGACCCGGTCTGTAAGATAGACCCAAACCTAAGCAGGTCATATATCCCATTCAGAGGTTTTTTTTTTCCGCTTATAGAACGTTAAATATAATATAGAACATAATATTAATAATACAGATATGTCCAAAACGATAATAAAATACATGTCACCAAACATAATCGAAAAACATATAGAAATATATGTTCGTACAAAATAAAGTAGTTGATTTCTCCTGATGCCAAATCTGCTAGCTTATGGTATGTTGTTATCTGAAAAAGGGAAAAAACTACAGAATGAGCTAAAAAGCCCAGTGTGTTCCATACAGTGTATATAAAAACATACTGATAAAAATATTCCAGTAAAGTTGGTTTATGCAATTATGTCGTTAAAAAAAATAAACACTACCCCCAGCCCATCACAACAGAATGTGTAGGTTCCCCAGAACCATACACCCAGCCCACACAACAAATAAGGCCCTGAGCACAAAGCCGAGGAACCTGCAGATATACTTCCTTCAACATTACCCCCCAATGATGGAGATGTTCATGAATGTATTTGAATGAAAACAATGATTAAATCTTTAAAACATAAAAGTGTTCATGCTTAACAATAATATACAGAAATACGGAAATCAGAAGACAAGTCAGTAGTATACAGAATTTCAGATATCGAATATTCAATATTCAGAAAATCGGTATAAAATACCGTAACCAGAAATCATATCAGAAATATGTGGCAAATCAGATGTCATATACATAATGTTCAGATGTATATTTTAAAACAGAAATAATTAACACTGTTGGGAAACACACCTGTAACAGTCTGAGAAATCAGATAGGGAAGCCTATTACTGGGTCTGTCGATCACGTTCTGCTGCAGCGCTAGATCCTACGAATTAGAAAAATCCATATTGGAATCCTAATATAAATAATCTAAATATTATTTAAATAATATACGGAAACCTACGGGTAATTCTCATAGTACGCGGTTCAGGCTGATCTAACGAACGGATAACACCGGACCTAATTGATCATTGCTCAGGTGAAACACGAGTACCTTCATAAAATATTTTTATTGAATAAATCATTGACCAAATCTCATTTAAATAATCAAAATATTAAAATATTAAGCCTTTTTGGGTTTACAAGCTCGATTCGGAAATTTCAGGTCAGAATTTGGCAAAACGGACTTCGGAATCAAATTCAGGACGTCGAAAAACATAAAGTATGACCTTCTGAAATTTCAAATTCTTGGTTAAAAATAAAGTCAACGGGTTTGACTGACGATTTGGAGACTTTCGGGTTTGAATTTAGTGAAACGGACCCCAAAAACGGATTCGGAACGTCTAAAACTATCAGGATAGGTATTTTTGGTCGAAAACAAAGGTCGTTTAATAACCGGTCAAATCCAGTCAAAGTTCTGGTCAAAGGAGGTCAACAAATGTCAAACATTTTACCTTTTAAAATAATTACCAAAATAGCACCCTTTTCGAATTATTTCCCAAAATAGCACCAATTTCGAATTAATTCCCAGAATATCACTTTTCGAAAAATTACCAAAATAGCACCTATTTCGAATTAATTCCCAAAATAGCACCAAAACCGAATTAATTCCCAGAATAGCACCGGTCAACGGTCAACTGGTCGGGTCGGGTCAACGGTCGGGTCGGGTAAACGGGTAAACGGGTCGAGTCAACGGGTAAACGGGTCGTGACCGGTCAAACCGGTCAAACCCTTAAGAAAACCGGTTGAACCGGTCGCTCACTCGCCCTACGGTGGCGCGTGTGGCGCATGCGACGTTCTCCGGGGCTCTAAAAATCACGGAAAAATTTCTAAAAATTATTTTGAGCGATTTCGAGATACTTACAAAGATCGGTTCAAATTTTTGAACGGCGGAGAGCTCGATTTCGACTCGGCCGAATCTTTGACTGATCCACCTCCCCACGCGCCGCCGTTAACGGAGATCGAGGATGACACCGGCGGACTCGGAACGACACAAGGAACACGATGGTGCGGGAGGTGTCGTAAACGGAGTAGCGATCGACGATGAATTTAGGATTTTCTAGGCGATTGAGCTTAAAAAAAACGTCGATGCTTTGACTTGAAATTCACGATGCAGCGTTTCGCTTCAATTAAATTGAGGGGATTGTTCCTGACTCGATAACGAACACGATGGTACTTTCAAAAAGAGGATCGAAATTCGGACGGTGTCGGAATCGTCGTCGGAAGTTGAGGTAAGGAAATGGAAATTTGGGAGGAATTGGGTTCTGATTTTCAGAACCCAATTCACGCATATATCATATATATATATATATATAAACCAAATACCTAACTTTTTTGGGTAAATTTAGGGCTTGGTCCCTGAATTTTCTTTAACTCTAAAACAAGCTACAAGTTTTAAAATCTTTCAATTTAGTCCCTAAAAATTACAAATTTTCACAATTAAATCTTCAAATTTCTATTAAATATTATTTTGATATTATCGGGTTGTTACACAAATCACTGTGATCAGCCTGGAATCTTCAACAGATGAAGAATGCGGGGTTCCTACATTGCAAGGGCATGATAGAGACTCCCATAAGCGAGACATTTATAAAAAAAAATTGATTTGTCTAGAGTGACTTCAAGATATTATTTGTTCGAAAGACTCTCAATCATTTGATAATAAACACTTAAATAAATCTATAGGCATCGTACTCGATCCGAGACCTCTAGAGTCTAGGAATTAATAACGATCACCGCTTTAACCACTTACATCCGCATATAGCTTGATTCATATTTAATAAATATTATAAATTAAATATTAAAGTTAATATTTATTATATTTAATGTATGATATTTCATAATTAATGTAGAATATTACCTTACATATTATAGAATCTTTATGCTTGTATATACATCTATAATGTCGATGATATAAGAAAATATAATCTTCTTAGTATTTTACATGATACCAAATGTTCTAATTAATTTTAGGTTCCTTTTTCATCATAATATTTTGGGTAAACTACACATTTACTACCTCAACTGTCACTTTTATTTTATTTTGGTCACTAAATTACTTTTTTTTTTCAAAATCAAACTTAATGTTACGTTATGTTTCATTTTGGTCACCCATAGTTAAAAAATTAGCAGAACTATTGATGTTGCATGTTTTTAATTTTTTCCAATGATGATGTGGCTTCATCTTATAGTGATACATTAGCATCACTGTTAATTTTTTAACAACGAGAACTAAAATGAAACCAAAACTAAATAATGATTTTTGAAAAAAAATTGTTAGGTGACCAAAATAAAACAAAAGTGATAGTTTGGATAATATACATATAGTTTACTAAAACTTTTTTGGGTTGTTTTGGGTGAGAGAGTTTATTGTTGAATTTTAAAGGGCAGCCTTGAGAGGTTTTCAAGATAAATGACATCCTATGGTTTGTTTGGTATTAATCGTTAATTATATTATGTAGGGATTGAAGAGAGCAACAACTAGATTGGTGTTGGGGAATTCAACTCCTGGTGTGGAGGAAGCACTGGATTCCAAGGAAAGGGATAAAGTTAGGAACATTGATGTAATAGATGGTCGCAAAAATTCTCAGATGGCTCATGTTGAATCAAAATAGAGTAAAAACTCTAATTGATCAAGAAGAAGAAAAACTCTCTTTAGAATAATCTCACAAAATTGAAAAAGGGGAGAACTCTTAAGAAAGCTTTCAAATGCTTATAATTAAGATTTGATTATTGGATGATAAAACTCAAATACAAATGGAGTATTTATAGGTTACAAGAACCAATCTAAACCACTAATTAAAATAACCACAAAATAATTTAAACTATTGAAATTAAAAATGAGAAAAATACCTAATTTTCACCTAACTAAATTGATGTAAGCAATGACATCAAAACTAAATTGATGTACGCAATGACATCAAATTAATTTAGGTGTGGACTTATTAAGGCTAATATTGAATTCTCAACACTCCCCCTCAATGTTAGTCCTCATTCTTTGAATCACGCCAAACTGACAACGGAAATGTTCAAACTTTTCAACACTCAAGCTTTTTGTAAACAAGTCAACATTTGCTCATCTGTCTTGACTTGCCTCATCTCAATCTCTTCTTGAAAAACTTTTTCCCTAACAAATTGATAATGTACTTCCACATGTTTAGTTCTTGCATGAAAAACAGGATTCTCCGCCAGCCGAATTGTCGATTGGTTGTCACAGTACAATAGAACTACATAATCTACTGATTGATGTAGATCATTCAATAGTTGTATCAGCCACGTGCTTTCTTAAGCTGTCATTGCTACTGCTCGATGCTCTACTTCTGTAGTTGATAAGGACACAGTCGGATGTCTCTTGCTACACCAAGAAATTGTTTCAGAGCCAAGCTTAAACACATACCCAGTTGTTGCAGATTGTCTCCAAATTCTCTCGAGTTTGGTAACACCTCATTCTCTGAGGACCACCAAGAAGATGCTTAATCAAATACCATATTTCGTGACGTGTAGCATCTTCCACTCATTGGATCACAATATTTCCACCTCTTTCTCTGACTGTCGTATCTCACAAAGATACATCTAACAACTTTCTTGTCAAACTTGCTCCGTAAATGATCAAGAACAAACACATAACATACAAAACCAAATACTCGAAAGTAGATAACTGTAGGTTTCATGTTTCATAGTTTCTCAAAGGGTGAAACAAATTCTAACATTGGTTGAGGAAGTCTGTTAATCACAAAGGTTGTAGTCCTCATTGCTTCAGCCCAAAACCTTCCAGGTACATTCTTTGCATGTAGCATACTTCGACAAATTTTTGCAAGATGCCAATTTTTTCTTTCTACTACACCATTATATTGTGGTGTGTTGGCTCAAGTGTACTGATGTATTCGACATTCCCTTAGGTATTGAGATAACTCGTTTGATTTATATTCTCCTCCGTTGTCTGTGCACAAGCAACATATCTTCTTTCCCACTTCTCCTTCAGCTGACTCTCTGCACTCTTTAAACTTTGAAAATGTGTCAGATTTTTCTTTCATAAAGAAAACCCACACATACCTGGAGAATTCATCAATGAATGTTACCATGTACCACATACCGCTAATTGACTGTTGCTTAACCGGTTCGAACACATCAGAATGAACTAATTCCAATGGTTATTTTGCTTTAAACTTTGACTAGCATATGGTAATTGGTGTGCTTTACCATACTGGCATCCCGTACAGACCGTGTCTGTTATCACGTATAGTTGAGGAAGCCCCTTAAGCATCGACTTCTTCACCATCACACTTAGCTTGTAATAGCTAACGTGACCTAACCGCATGTACCATAGATCTGATGTCTCATTTTTTCTTGTCCTGTCTATATATGCAGACTCTGATGACATCACGTAGATTGACTTCAAACGTCGTACCTCTATTGTTGGTGTTTTTGAGATTTTGAGGTCACACTAAACCTTCATGTCTTGGGGACCAAATAAGACATAATGGCCTGGTGATGTTAATTAAGCCACAGATAGCAAATTTTTTCTTCATTCCTGGGACATGGTAAACATCTTGAAGTTGTACCTGGTTAGAATTAATATCGATGTGTAACTATTGTCTTACCGATGTGAGTTATTGGTAACTTTGAGTTATCAGCTGTCACCACCACATGACCTCCATTGTACTTAGACAGGTTTTACAACTTATGTTTGTCACCCGCCATATGATTAGAGCAGCCTAAATCTACGATCCAATCATTCTTGTAGTCAATCCGTTCTGGTGTTGTTACCGTGAGAGCTAATTTTTCTTCCTCCGTAGTAAATAACCCTTCAACATACCAACCGTCTTCACTATTCACCTTTTCTTGGTAAATTTTCACCTTTTCACCATCTTTTTTAGATCCACTGCCAGTATACCGCTGAAAAATGCCTATGCTTTTGCTGGTGTAGAGCGCTTCCTCTTTACCCTTCAGCGAGACTTCTCCCATTTGCTTGGCCATGACTTCTTGACATGCAAGCAAAATTTTGAACTCAACAAGCGATGGTTGTGTCGGCCATCCCTGTATAGCAGCAACAAACCCTCGATATTCGGGTCTCAAACCATGGGCAATTATTCTTTTTATCCTGGCTTCCCCAATAGTAGCTATCGAATCTAATTCTGAAATTTCGCGGCATATCAACTTCACCTTGTGAAAGTATTGGGCAACCACCATGTCGTGTTGCGCCATTGATAGAAGTTCATTCTCGAGAAGTTGTAATTTTGTATCGTTTCTCTTCGAAAAGAGTGTAGCGAAGGTGTCCCATGCTTCCTTCGGTGATTTAACATCCCGAATATGCTCCAACATTTCTTCTTCTATTGTGGTCTTCAAAGCAAACATTGCTTTGCCTGCTTTAATTTTCCACTTTCGCAAGACACGTTAGCATCTTCCGCTGCCGGTTGTGTAACTTCACTACCACCGACAACCACCCACAAGTCTTGAACTTGAAGGTAAGACTCTATACACGTTGCCCACGTGTTATAGTTTTGGTTGTTGAGCTTCTTGATTCCTCCAACTACTTGAAGGTCACCCATCGTAACGACAAGGCTTTGACTACACCGAACAAGCTTGAGTAACAAACATGCAGAGTACTAAATTACTCTAAACACAAAGAAGATCCACAAGGTTTGTAATAACCCTAAAAATAATCTCAAGAAATATTTTTTGATGTGGAAGATCAATTAAAACTGCAGCTACAAAGCATACTCGGAATTTCAAGCGACCTTAAAAACGTGGCTCGGATACCAATTGTTGAATCAAAATAGAGTAAAAACTCTAGTTGATCAAGAAGAAGAAAAACTCTCTTTAGAATAATCTTATAAATTGCAAAATAGAAAAATTTAAAACTCTCTTTGATTGTTGGATGATAAAACTCAAATACAAATAGGGTATTTATAGGTTACAAGAACCAATCTAAACCACTCATTAAAATAACCACAAAATAATTTAAACCATTGAAAAAATAACTCATCAAAATAACACGAGTAAGGGTGTTGAAATTCGGGTACTCGAAGTTCTGTGTACGTGGGTCTTCAGGTAGTTGATTGGTTGGTCTGTGTCTCGACCCAGATGTTGTGGGTATCAGGTATTGCCGATTTTCATAATTCGGGTAATCGAGGTACTCAATTTTTTTTATCATTTTCAAATTATTAATTTTTTAAAAAATACAACTTATATTATTAAACAAATATTATATTAATTATTAAACGTACATTGGGTGGGTCTTTTAATTTTATTAGTTTAATTTAATATATAAAATTATTAATAATTAAATATGTAATATTATTATATTTAAAAAAATAAATGTAATTAGGTAGTCGAAAAAAATGTAATTTTATGACCTAGGCCTGACCTAGGAAATGTCGGGTCAGGTAAATTTTTTAGATAATTATCCGGTTTTTTAGTTTAGGTTGTCAAGTCAATTTGGTCTGATATTTTTGAACACCCCTAATCAAGAGTACAAAAATAAATAAAATATACACAAAAAAATAACAGAATTAGTACTAAAAATAAATAAATGAGAGACAAAATTTAAAAGTTACACCAAATAAATAAATATAATATGCTTAGAAATAAATAAATAAATCATAAGTACAAAGAAATAATAAATAATAAATTAAAATAAAGAAATATTTTTTAAAATATTAAATAAAATTAAGAATCAAATTAGAATAAATAAAACAAATCAAGTTAAATATGAAAAAATTATAAAAAATTAGGAAAGAATCATAGGACAAAACTTAGCAAAAAGAAAAAAAAAATTTAGAAACAAATAGGGGCATTAACCCATAAAAATTGAAAATTAAATTCGGCATAGGAAAAAGAATATTTTTTGAAAGAATAGGTGGAGTTAAGAGAAATAAAAAATAACAATAACAATAACATAACTTTTTCCATTCAAGATCTACTATCGGATTTCATTGAGAAACCTCAAGAAAAACTAAATCTATTAAGATTCTTTGAAAAACGGCTTCTGCTTCTAGCAAAGTCTCTCCCTTTAGCATGTACAAGTTTGCTAATATATTTTCACCTTTCATCACCACAAGCGCTCCATGGAATACATTTATGATTACTTTCCGTGTTTCAGTCTTCCTTTCATTATTATCCAACAATCCGTAGGATAATAAATTTTTTTTCAGGCCTTTCACGTGCCGAACATCTCGAACAACTTTAATTGTTCCATCATACATCTTTAATTTGATGGTTACAATGCCAACGATCTCTAAAGCATGATCATTGTAACTATATACAGATCCTCCTGAGACAAGTTCATAATGATAAAACCATTTTCTTCTTGAGGTCATATGATATGTTGCTCCAGAATCAATGAGCCATATATCTGCAAATCTTTTTCTACCTTCTACGGTGGTTGACGTTTCACAGCATATAGCATCTCCATCATCTGAAGTGTTTGCGGTATTACCTTGTGGATTGGAGTTTTTACTTAGACTCCAACAATCATTCTTCAAGTGACCCTTCTTTCCACAATTGTAGCACTTTAAATTCTTTTTGCTTCTCGACTTTGATCTACTATGTTTGCGACTGATGCTTTGGCCACATTCTATTGACCTCCTTCTCATCGTTGTCAACGCTTCTGCTTGTTGCAGATTTACTTGTCTGTCTTCATTGCTCTTACGCCGATTATCTTCTTGTAGAACAGAAGTTGCAACGTCATCAAAGACTAGACTAATGATATTATTGTTTGTCAAGTTGATGATGAGTTGATCATAAGAATCAAGTAGACTTTGAAGTAGAAGTTCAGCATGTTCTTGTTCTCCTATTGTACATCTTAAGGATATAAGTTGAGAAAATAAAGTGTCCAATGTGTTTAAGTTCTCCGTCACTGAAGTAGATTCTGGCATCCGAAGAGTGTACAATTTCCTTTTAAGGAAAATTTTATTATGCATCGATGTGGCCTCGTACAGTTTAGTGAGATGATAACATATCTCCTTATCTGTCTTCTTCTCCTCGATGCTTGATAATACTTCATCTGCTAATACTAGATGAAAGTTTACCATAGCATTATCGTCCATCTCGTTCCATTTGCTGTCATCTGTGAAATCTACTGGCCTTTCACTGATAGCTGTTAGACAACCATCTTCCCTTATGATGAACTTCATCTTCCCTTAGGATGACCTTCATCTTCAATTTCCACAATGAGAAATTTCTCTCATTGAACTTTTCAATATCAAATTTTGTTGTCATAGCTTTTATTACGGATAGCTCCCATTATTTCACTATCGTGAATAGTTCTCTGGAACCTTTAAAGAATGGGTAATACCTTCTTACTTTCTTATGTTGAAGGATCCACCTTTTTATGGCAACCATAAAGACAATAAGTAGATATTACACACTCAAATCTAGCTCTTGACACCAATTTTTGCGGAATACGGCTATCAGATAGAGCAAAATCGCAACTGATAATTTGAGAAAATAAAAATGAAGGTAAAGAATACACAAATTTTACGTAGAAAACCCCCTAAATAATATAAGGTAAAAACCACGGGCAAAGGTAGAAGAATTTCACTAAGAGAAAATAGGAATTACAACTTCTCTCGATCTAAAAAGGAGAAAACAATAACAATTCTCTCTTGATAAAAAGGAGAAAACAACTCTCAAGAAAACTCTCTAAATTCTCTAGTATTGGGAGAAAACTAGAATGATTTGGGATAGTTTTGAAGCTAAATGGGTTAGGGTATTTATAATTGAAGCTTAAGGACTAATCTTATAAATACCCTAAAGTGCAAGAACTAAATTTGCAATTTTTCCATTAAAAATCAACAATTGCTGCATCGAATATTGAAAACCAATTTGTAGACTACCGAAAGTGGCAAAATTGGCCACTTATTTGACTTTTCAACATTTTCTACATGTGTTATCTTCGCTAAAATAAACATATCTTAGACTCTCGATATCCAATTGAGATGTTTCAAATTGCATTGAAAAAGTAACTAAAAGACGGTTCTATCTCACGAAGACATCATGCCTTGGAAATGTTTGGAACTTGCTTGAGAATTTTTTGCAAGTCAGCTGATGTCGGGCTTCAAAATCTGCTTTAATAAAACCGTTTGAGTCTTGTAAATTGTAGGCCATACGAATATTGGATATTACATCATTCGTGAACCATCGGCGGGAAGTTAGAAAATTTATTTTGTGGTGTCAAATTTATTATTTGATGAATTTCTTTTAAGATGAATAAAAATGAATAATATGTGTCTGTTTATTTTTAAGAGTATTATTATTCTTTAAAATATGTTAGTTTAGTTTTTCTAATATTTTTATATTAAAATCATAAAAAACATCTCAAAAACACCTCTCATTATATGTATATTCCATCACTGTGTTGAGGAGAATCGAATGAGCAATCTCTCTCTCTTTTGTTTTTTTGTTTTGTTTTTGTTTTAGTTTTTTTTAGAAAGAATGAGTAACCTCTTGAAATCACCACATGGGGGACTACTCTAACAAGTGAGTCATGTCCGCAGAATGTTTGACTCGATATTTATACGTGAGTAGATCATCGTTAGCTATGTTTACAAGTATGATCATGTGGCACACGAGGTTATCTCTACAACAAGATGTACATGCTTCCACTATGTGGAATTGAAAGCTATCTCATCCAGATTTGTTACATGATGGTACATAAACCAAGCCTTTCATTGGATAAGTTCATCTTTTATATGTGCTCAAAATCACTAAAAATGGCAATGAAGCTGTATTGGTTTTGTTGGCCTAGTTAGAGGATTCCGATGATAATTAAGGGATTAATAGGATTCAAGTCAAGTGTCATTTTGTTACTATTTTGATGGGTGAGTAGCCTCCTATTGTGCGATCACCAAATGTATGTTCAAGCACGAATCAAGTGACTTTAATAGTTAAGAAATTTATTCTTATCAACAAAGGAGAGGAAAAAGAAATGACTCCCAGTTCTAAATTATTGTTTTTTTTATAAAAAAATCGAGATAGTAATAGTGAATTTGATGATAAAATTGTTTCCAAGGTAGTGGGATATGATGAGATAAAATGGTTTGTTATCACCTATGATCCAATAGACTTGCGAGCTTGAGTATCATGCGAACCTTCTACTAGGCTACTGACTACTCGCCAAACATATGCTACTCATGAGAATACACTTCGTAATGACTACGCGCCAACCATACACGTAGCATCCTAACCTAACCTATCACCTCCTGAAGTATTCAATCAAAGTCAATGACATGACAACTCTAGCTCATGCCACTTCCTAGAACAATTTAGGGGGTGTGCATTTTCGGATATCGTATACTATTTGATTAAAATTTCGGATATCCAAAAATTCAGATCACTAATATTGTAATCCGAAAAAATCGAATATCCGATGTTTCATATTTAAATTTTTGGATCAAATATTTGGATAACCGATTCCGAAATAAAATTTAATTTAACAAAAAAATACTTAAATTTTATATTTTATGACTTTATACAACCTCCTCTATGTATATATATTTAATTATTCAACCATAATAAAATAATAAAATATTTTAATTTTTAAATTTAACACTTAAAATATTGAAAATGAATTTATTACATGAGAGTATAAATCCTCCACCGTTTGGGAACTTGTAATACCCCAAATCCTAGGTCAGTAGTTCGGGTCTACCTGAGACCCATAAGTTGAACCCATTAGATCTTCCAGAGCAGTTTGGACTAGTTTATAAGAGTGTTGGGCCTAAGTTTGGCCCAAGATCATAGGATATGTGATGGTTTTAAATGGAGATAAAAGGGCGAGGGACCAAAAGTGTAGTTTACCCATAGTTGGGTTTAAATGATAAAAAACCCTTAGCCAATAGTTTTTCACGTGAAACTCCAAAGCTCCCAAAATATCTTCATTTTCTCTCTTCTTTTCCTCCCAAGAGCAAGAAAAAGGTGGAAGTTGTAAGAGTTTCAAGCCTAGATTGAAGAAACCAATGTAAGAACCTAAATCTCCATCCCTTAAGTTTCATTTAGAGCCCTTAATTTCATGTTTTGGGTATGGTTTTAGAAAATGTATTTTTATGGAAGTTAAAGCAATCAAAGGATTCAAGTTAGTTTTAATAAATTTAAGTTGATTAGAGTGTTTCTAACTCAGTTCTAAGCTCTAAACAAATTAGTAACTTCTAGTTTTACTTGTGATTAGCCAAAGAGGTGGGAGAAAGTTCCAAAGCTAAAAGTAAGGAAAAAGTGAATACTAGTTGATTCGAGAGGAGATTTAGTAGCCAAAGAATCAAGGTAACACACTCACAACTCCTTCATACCCTTAGTGGTCATTAAAAAAGCAAGAGAGCTTACGAGATTATATTAAGCATGTTGAGTAGATTTCTATGGTAAGATGCATGTTTTAGAGTTATGAGATGTTTTAAAGCCTTATTTATGACCCTTAATATTTACATAATACTTAATAATCATTGGGAAACCTCAAGGTAACAAAATTAGGGAGATTAAGGGGTGAATTTGTGCCTAAATAAGGCATTTTTAGGGCTAGTATCAAACCCCTTAAAGGAGTATCGATACTGAGGGTATGATATCGAGACTAGGGTGCACGGTATCGAGACCGAAATTCCAGTAGGCTATTTTGGTATCGGTACTCTAGGGAGTATCGATACCCAAGGGTCCCAGCAACGATACTCCCTTTTCTTTAAAGGCAAATTCAGAGATGTAGTATCAATACCTTGGGTTGGGTATTGATACTAAAAGGTATTGATACTACAGAAAGAGTATCAATACTATAAGTTTAGTCTTGATACTAAGATGATGTTTTGGACTTTAAAGCAAGGTGAATTATAGAAGCAAGTGAGGTCTTCCAAATAAGATTACAAGTGAGAATAGTAACAATGTTTATTTCAAACGTAGAAACGAGAATAAAGTAGGATCAAATAAGACTAGCCTCGTGTGAATGCTTGGGAAACGATTAGGACACCCGAGTTCCTTTAGAAATGAAGGAGAGTCAAAAGTATAAATTCAGTCCGAATATCCTTAGGTAGTGCACGAGGCACTTTAAATTGACTAACTAGGGCGCGAGGTCCGACACTCGAGAGGGGTGGGTTAGTCGAGGGGATTGACTGATGCAGAAATTCAAAGCAACCAACCTCGGTAGACTAGAGGGGTGTTTGAGCTTTGAGATGCAGAGATCCCTCAGCTGCATCATGATGTCTACCCTAGAGTACTAGAGAGTGAGTATCATGAGGATAATCACTAATGTTTGAGATTGAGTAGCTTGAGGTATTTTAGTGATGCACTTTTAGTATGAGCTAGTTGTTAGTGTGACATTGAGCTAGTTAGCTCAGCATTTGGAATTTGTTTCCTTACGCAGATTAGGTGGAGCAGTTGCGAAGACCCAGAGAGACAGAAGTCCAGACTCATAGCAGATCAGAGTACATCTCAAGTTTTGAAAGGGCATGTATATTTATAAACCCTGATGTAAAGTTTAGTAGTAAAGTCAGTCAAGAGATGGTTTGTATATTTTTAGATGTATATATTATTTTGAGAGTTCTTTGATGTAAAAGTTTTAAATTTGTATTTTTATGAATGATTTTCTAGTATAAAATGGTCGTTTTAAGAAAAGAGAACTAAGAAAAATGTTGGTCAGTTACTCCGGTGGTTCCGTGTAGCATCCTAACCAATCGACTGTGTCGTACGAATTTAGGGTGTTACATAACTATTGTAGATGAAATATTGTAGGGGATGCATGAAATATGAATATTACACCTATAAATTAAAATATGTTAGTACTTTACTGGGTTGTACTTAGTTTGGCAAATTAAAATTTGAGTTATCAGGACTATGTTTAATGCGTAAAGTTAACTTTAATTTTTTAACAGACATTTGAATTCAAGTATGATGGATCACGCGGGGATAATATTTACAGTGGTGGTCTGAAGCATTTTATATGTGTTAATCGGTTGGGTTTATGTTTTAATGGGTTATTTTTAGGCCAGAGCCCATTTAAAATATAAAATTTATTGAATTTTCATATAATCCTAAAGTAAAATATAGGCGATCCACATTCGATTTGATTATTCATTTTTCGAATATCTGATTTAAATTATTTAAAAATAAAAAAAGATCGAATATTCAAATTTTTAGATCGGAACAATTAAATCGTTTTTTTTTGGCACACTCCTATAACAACCAATTAGATCCAACAATGTGACAACTATATAACAACTAATCAAAAGATCATAGACATGGCAACTCCTCACTCAGACCAAGCCAAGGATACTATAAATAGCCATGCGAGAGAGATCAGAAAGGATCACAACTCCAATCACGACCCGACCACCTCCTCCATGGCTGTTGTCTACTTTGCTACTCAACAGGGTTCTTTATGAAGGTATTTAAAGATAATATTAATATTAAATGTATTAACTGAATATACTAAATATTATGAATACTAAATATATATTAAATATAAATAAATATAAATATTACATTATTATAAAATAATATTATAAATAAATGAGGATCAATTTTAGATTAAATATATTTTTTGAGATTAAACTAAATAAAAATAAAATGTGAGAGACTTAAAATGCAATTTACTCTTTTCTATTAAATTCAACAACATTTCTATGGTAAAAAAATGTTCATGCGTTTTAGTTGATAAAATAGTTTTTTCTAGAGGTATTAAAAAAATAAGACAACAAAAATAACTTTTAAAAGTTAAAAGTAAAAACTTCCCAATTTTTTTTAAAGAAAAACATGATAGAAAAATATACTTTTAAGGGCACATAAACCTTTAAACATTCTTTGATCAGATTGTGATAATTAGTTTATTTTATGGATTTCACCCACCCCCAATGAAGGTCAATGGTAGATTGAGACGAGCATCGACAAATTCTTAGCTCTTCTTTGCTCACTCGCCTTTTCAAATTATCATATTATATTTTCTTAATATTACATTTTTGTATCACTTCTATGTTTTAGTATACAATTAATTTTGTTGATGTTATTACATGTTTTAGTAATTAAAAAGTATAGAGTTGTAAAAATTATATATTTTTGAATTTAGTGAGCGATTTCAGACGTAAAAAAAGAGTTTTCTTTATAAAGCTCTCGGGTTTCTTGTTAATAGATTAAAAAAATTAAACAAATATTATTTTATATTCACCCCGGACTAATAAAAAATTATATATCTTTAATTCAATTAGTTTGAGATGTGGATAGATTTAAGAATTGTTTAGTAAATTAATGTATCAAAAAACAGATATACATAAAATATTTTATTTTATTAATCTAAGGTTATTACAATTGGTAATATCTGTTCTAAAGACTTTTAATCAGTTGACAATCAACGCTCAAAATCCTGCAATCATAGGTGATCTAACTCGAGGCCTCTAAGAATAACAATTATTCTTTGAATCACTGAAGTCGTTTGATTCATGCCATATATATAAAATATTGTATATACTTTATATTAAAGAATTACATATATGTAACTTAAATTCATAAAGACAAAGTAGGACGTTACACTTTCTGGTTTTATCTTAGAATATCAAATTTTAAAATCCTAATTCTTTACGAACTTATGAAATAGGGATGACTCATTTATATAAAGGGGAAACCTTCATCTAACTAATTTCAGTCGAGTGTTTCTTAAATGCCCTATAGAAGATCTGATTTCTATAGTAATTTCCATACCCTAAAAATATCACACGCAAAGCCTCTGAAACAAACGGTGAGCCAATTTGAAGCATCACATATGCCTCATCACTTACCTTTATTAAGCTCTCGAAGATGAACCAGAAACAAATGTGTTTTTCATATAGGCAGAACCAGAAACGGAACTTACTTCTTCCTAGGCCTCGTTCATATGTTTCTTGGCATGAAGATCCATCACAAGATCCCGTAGCTCGGGGAAAACTGATATCAGTAAGAGTTCTAAGATCGCGAAAGCAAGTTGCTTAATACATACGATAGACTGCAATGGACAAGAACAGATAAATATAATAATAAATTCGAGTATCGGAACAATGGGAAATAGAAAGAAAATAAGAGAATAGTATCATCTTCGTAGAGGGCAAAAAGGATAAAAGCCCAACCTGAGTGAAATAATAAATGTCTCTTGCACATCGTCGGTATTGCTTATACCCAATCAAGCTAATTAATGTTGCTGGGGGTCCATCTGATGAATTCGAGGGGAACGTGTTCAGTGATTTCAACAACACAAAGTAGACAAAAATGGTCTTGGGAAATTTTAATGAGAAATATAATCACTGAACTCTGGACCAACGATAAGTGAATTGCAGGCATTTAAATTACAGATCCAAAAGTTATGCGTGCTCAGACAAGTTATCAACAACGATAAAAAGATACTTACCAAAAATCATCTTTTTTATGTCACTTGCTCTACGAGTAGCCTCAAGTTGTTGCTCAAAGGATCCAGGTTTAGGGGCATTATTCCCACCAAATTGGCTGAAGTTAAACGAAGGTGAATGAGTCTGGTTGAGATGAGCATTACCAAATTTGCTGTGAATGTTCCCTATTGTTCTAAAGAATTTACCACCTGGCCATAGGAGCTGGCGGAAGAAAAGGCAATTAGAAGAAACATAACATTTTGGCAGGTTAATTAGTGAAAGTGATTCGTTGATCTTAAGATTGCTGGGCTACAATTCAGAACTTAGCCTCAGGCTCAGCCTGTCACAGTTCTCAATCACAGATTGATTTCAGGTTAAAATCTTACGAGAGAGACATCTAAAAGTTCATGTGATGGTGGCAGCAGTTGTTAATGACAAAACTCATGCTTTTACAGCTCAAGCTCAAACTAAATTCTAATGTAGGCCTTACATCTTGAATCCATCGAATCCCTAGGGCAACAGTTTCCTCCCTCCGAAGCCAATAAATCTGGCGCAAAAGCCAATCATCAATGGCATCCTCCATCACCAGCTGTAGTATTTGCTTAGATATCCAAAAGACCTGTCTTCTGCATCAATGAAAATATATCCAGTGTTTATGCCAAATTATTCTGGAAATAAGTCATTTTAAAACACCATAAAATGCATAATAAAGTTAATAGGATGACATGGTCTTAAAAAATTAGAGAGTTGCCACTGGCTAACAGGAAACAAGGAAAAAGCTTGAAGCAGTAATTGATAGTTCAAACAACCATGCCAGTCATCTAATGCCTCTAAACAAATGCTAGTATATTATTTCAGCAAGCAATTATTTTCTGAACTTAGCACTAGCCTAGAGGTTGCCTATCTTAAAGATTAAGAACAGAAGACCACAAAAAGACATTCTTCGCTGGTTACTAGACATATAATCAACTCACCATATAACCAACTCCTATGTTATGAAAAAATAAACTAAACAAATTGAACATATGGCCAAAAGTATTTGTAATACCAAAGTACAAGGTAAAATATCATTCTCTCATCCTTCCTAACACCAAAGTAATTGAAATAAGCTTCCATGTCCGTCTAGTTCTTACTTTGTTCTCGAGACTCCAGATTCATGTCCTGATGAGCCAATATCTTCGAAATCTGATCTGACTTCCACTGATGGTCTTGATCTACTTATTAGTTTTCGAAGGTAAACATACTTGCACATACCCAATTTCTTCTATTGTTTTCTATAACCGTTTGTCTTATTCTTCTTGTGCTTTTCTTTCGTCCCTAGTAAAGTTCCCCCCCCCCCCTAAATTTGTCTGCAAGACATTAGCTCATTCTGGATAGTGTACGACTTTGCTTGAGGAGATGACTGCTTTAGACGTTAACGGAATTAAGTCTTTGGTTACTTTGCATGCTGATAAACGAGCTATTGAATGTAAGTGGGTGTTCACTGTTAAATTTAACCCTAATGACTCTATTGCTAAATTGAAAGCTAGACTTGTTGCCAAAAGATATGTATGCTCAGACTTATGGAATTGATTATGATGATACCTTTTTCTCAAATAAATAAACTTTTCTATAATATTGTTTATCTCCTTTGCGGTGGCTATTGATTGGACTTTGCATCAATTAGATATAAAAAATTGTGTTCTCTCATGGAGGAGGTGTATATGAAGCAATCACTTAATCTTGCTGTTCAACCAGAGTATGAGATAGTATGTTTTTTGAAAAGGAATAATCTTTATATGACTTGAATTAAAGTCCTCAGACTTGGTTTAGGAATTTTATCCAAGGTATTAAAAGTAGGAGAAGCAAAAGAGCAAGTTTCATTCTATTTTCAATAAAAAAAAAAGTCTACTGAAGGCATGATAATGTTATTTGTATATGTGAACAATATTGTAACCATTAGTTGTGATTCTAGCAAAATTTCATCTCTGAAGTATTTTATTCATGTTGAGTTCCATAGCAATGACTTGGGTGTAAATTATTTCTCTATTTGATAACCGTAATATTTATAAGTGATGAGTATATATAGGACTAAAAGGAAAAACTAATTATACAAAGATAAAGAAAGTCGAAGGTTACACAAGGTAAGATTTATACAAGGTAAAATTGGATTGAATATGATTAGATTAGATTGGATAATTTAATCTAATATTTATCTTTGATATGCCCCCAAAAGATAAATTGTTGAGTTAATCGATCGATGGAATCAGCCAAGAGGGGAGTGAATTGGCAATAAAAATTTTGGTGGAAGTTTTTGCAGAAAATTGAAAGTAATTGCACAGCGATTTAGAGTGGTTCGACTTTATCAACTAAAGTCTACGTCCACTACCTTAGCTATCCACACTAAGGATTTTCCAACAAATTCACTAATTTGTTCTTTCTTTTGAGGTCAAAGAGATAACCTTACAACTCCCTCAAGAATATACCCCAATTCTTGAGAACACTCTTTTCTCAAAGAGAATATTACAAATTTGTAAACTTACAAGAAAAACCTCACAAGGAAAATATGTTTGCACAATTCTAAAACAAAGAAAGAACACTCAAGAATAAATACAATTGAGCACAATAAGTGTTCTTGAAAGCAAAATGAATATTGAATGAAAAATAGGCTTGAAATGCTCAAACTTGAGGTTTGATACTTTCTCTTTGAATCTCTCTTGATTCTAGTTGCTTGTTGTTTCTTGTTGTTGATCAATGGCTTCTAAGCTTGTTTAAATATATCTTGAATCACTTCTGAACGTTGGGGATGATTAGTGGAGTCAATAGAGCCGTTTAAGTGTGAAAACAATTAATTAAAGTAGTTGGGAGCGTCAGTGCATCGATGCATACCCATGGTGCATTTGTGCATCAGTGTAAAATTCAAATATTTTGACCGTTGGACCCTTAGTGCATCGGTGCACTAAGAGTGCATCGATGCATCAAGTGCATTCGATGTTTCAAAATAGCCAGAGTGCATCGATGCATGGCTGGTGCATCGATGCATCAAATGCATTCGATGTTTTCATAAAATCCTCAGTGCATCGATGCATGAAATGCATTCGATGTTCAATTTAATTCATGGTGCATCGATGCATGGATTAGTGCATCGGTGCATCACTCTGAAAAATTGATTTTAGGTTTGATTTTGGTTCAAAATACTTTGTGAAAATTGTTTCAAAAATATATTAAGTATAAAACACAATTTTACACATTTAATAAGGTTTGAAATTGATCTTAAAAAACTTGGAGTAATAATTTGATATTCGATTAATTGAATCGAATATACTTAGAAAATCATTTGTAAAATCTTAAAATTCTTTTAAACTAATTTGTTATATCGAAATATCAAAATGTTTTCAACAATCTCCCCCTTTTTGATATAACAAAACACTTGAGTAATTTTAAGATTTTCTTTGAAAAACTATTTTGAAAAATCAAATTTGAAATTACTCCTCCTTACTACCTTACTATAACATGTTACATTTCTCCCCCTTTTTGTTAAATAAAAAAGACTCTAAAATAACTGTACACAAGGTTTTGAAAAACTTAGCCAATTTATATTTAGAAACTTAAAGATTAAGCTGCTAATATCAAAGATCAAAAGAGAGATTAACCATTAGTTTTATAATCAATATTCATAATAAAATGTGAAATGGTTAATTGGTCATATTTCAACTAAAAAGTAAATAATGCACATATTGAAACAAACCAAAATATATAAGAAATAAAAGTTCAAATATCCATCAAACAAACATCCAACAATCAAAGAAAGACAATCCAAAAATGTTTTAACAATTTAAATTCAAGTTCAAACCCAAAAACAATCAAAGCAAGATAAGTCTATTCATCCATTGAAGGATTGGGAGGAGGAGGAGGGTAACGAGTTCTCATCTCAAGTGTGAGTGCATCCAAACGATCATTCATATCTTGTTATCGAGCTCCCAAGGTAGAAAGCTGGGACTCAATGAATATGAAGCATGAATCCATGGACGCATACCGTAAATCAAATGTCTCAAAAAATGAACGAAAATATGGAGGCATTTGATCTTCTTGTGGAGCTGGTTCTGGTACAGGCTCGTCATCAGGTACATGATCATCGATGTCTTGCATAAGTTGTTGAAATTCAGGATTATCGTCAGAAGCCGAAGCCGGAGCCGGAGGAGGAGGAGGAGCACGAGAGGAACTAGGAGCAGCTCGTGAGGAACTAGCTCCCGAAGTTTGCTTTCCGGGTCTAAAAACCCATTGACCGGTTACCTCGTCTTGTTTCCAATTCGCTTTCTTCAAGGATGTGAGATTGATTTGATTTTGGAGTGGGTAGGATTGTCGAGAGAGACGTCTAGACCAAGTTTGATAAAGAGGTTACTAAGAAGACATCCATAAATCAATGTTTCAACATGTTTTGAAGGAACAATGTTTATGATGTCCACTAGTTGACTGAATATAATGTGGGGTAGATTTATTTTGATTTTATTTTTAATACAATACATCCACCATAAATCCTTAGCACGAAGTGTGGAGTACCTACCTCCGGATGGTCTAAACCACCAAGAGATCATCAAATGGAAAAAACGATCGTGATGAGATTGTAGAGTACTAACACTGGAGTTTGGAACATAGGGATATTCCACATTTTCACTCCATTATATACACCACTATCATCTAACCCAAATCGGAAAGCTATAGTCTCGGGGTCAATATTAATATATTGGCCTAAAAGATAGGATCTAATGGCTATAGTTCCACATTGAGTTTCATTTTGAATACACGCCGCATTGGAATAGAAAATGCAGACCAATTGTTGATAGACGATAGGTTTAAGCTGAAACAATTTATCAAACTTCCAAGCTTTAAGAATCGGAATGTATTCAAAGTCAATGTCAACCATGGCTTGAAGCGAAGGAATACGCTCTTCACGGATTCTATAAGTTTGGAAAGAATTTCTGTACCTAGAGTACAATTCGTCTCTACGACGCTCATACATGTTAAAACAAGATCCTAATAGAGATGAAGGTGGAGGAGGAATGGGATTAGGAGGTTGGTTTGAACGAGAACGACTCGACGAAGTCCTAGGGCGTTTGGGATTAGACATGATTTAAGAATCGGAAAAAGAAATATAGCAAATTGAAACACATGTATGCACAATAATCAATCCCAAAACTCAATTGAGTACTCAATAATTCAAGGTTCTCTAAACCGAATCCTAATGGACAATGTTTTGAAAAACTATTTGAAAGTAATATTTGTAAATAATATGTATAGTTTTTCATGAAAACAACATAATTAAATCAAAAACATCAAATTTAGAATTTAAATTTAGATTTTCGATTTTTTTTAATTTCGAAAATTCACAAATTCATTGAAATTTTGTGAGTTTTTGATGAAATTAGTTGTAAAAACTAATTTGTAATCATCAAACTATCAATGCCCGATATAATGTTCATCCTAAAACTAATTAAAACTAGTCCTAAGATCAAAAATCAATAAAATAAGGTTTTTGAAATATTACCTTGAAAATTTCAGATTTGAGAGGAATGTGATGTTGTTTTGCACGATTTGATGATAAATGCAGGATTAAGAGTTGAAAAACTTGAAGATTCTAACAATATTT